GGCATACTGCCATCAACTCGAGGCAATTGACATGCATGAGGCGCTGGAGTCTTGTCCAGGAGCCCGCGGCTGCATGTCCATTGCACATGGCACCCTAACCCATGGCAGAGGCATCTGTGGAGACAACAACATGTCTGGAAACTTGCTCTAGGGGAACTCTGTCCCGTAGAAAGCTGAGGTTCCTCCACAGGGTGAAGGTCTGATGGCAGGTTGGAGTTACTGGAACTCTGAAGTACAGCGATGCCATGCCCACCTCGGGACACGATCGCGACAGCTGAAGCGTTCTCATATGAAAAAATTCGAGTGGCGTTGCCATGGCTGCGGATGCCATATGCCCCAGGAGCCTCTGAAAAAGTTTCAGTGGAAACGCACTCTTGCCCACGAACTGTCGAAGACAAGTCAACAGTGAGTTTGCGCACTCGCTTGTAAGCTGCGCGGACATTGCGGCCGAGTCTATGTCCATATCGCTAGTAAGCTGCGCGGACATGGCGACCGAGTCTATCTTCATACCGAGAAAAGATATCCTCTGCACGGGGCAAAGTTTGCTCTTCTCCCAGTTGACCCGAAGGCCCAGACGAGCTAGGTGCCGGAGCACAAGGTCCCTGTGTTCGCAGATCTGATCTCGAGAGTGAGCTAAGATAAGCCAGTCGTCGAGATAGTTCAGGATGCGAACCCCTTGTTCGCGAAGGGGAACAAGGGCTGCCTCGATGATCTTCGTAAAGATGCGAGGAGACAGAGCCAGCCCGAATGGGAGAACTGCGTACTGATATGCCTGCCCCTCGAAAGCAAACCGAAGAAACGGTCTGTGTCGAGGTAAATTGGAGACATGAAAGTAGGCGTCCTTCAGGTCTATCGCTGCAAACCAATCCTGGGGCCGAACACATTCGAAAATGTGTTTGGACGTGAGCATTTTGAACGGCAGCCGGTGAAGGGTGTGGTTCAAAATGCGCAGGTCCAGAATCGGTCGTAACCCACCGGTTTTCTTGGGGACAATGAAGTAGGGCTGTAAAATCCTGACCTCATCTCGGCCGGAGGGACAGTCTCGATTGCACCCTTCGCCAGCAGGGTGGCAACCTCCACTCTTATGATCGGGGCATTGCCACCGGCCATCGTAAAGCGGACTCCCCTGAAGCAGGGAGGAGAACTGCGAACTGAATCGCATAGCCGAGCCTGATAGTTCGGGCGACCCAATGGGACAGATTGGGGAGCTCTAACCAAGCCCCCAAAAACTGATCCAGTGGAATCAACCGAGCCACAGGCGTAATTAGGAGGGAACTAAAGATATAAATATATTTTGTTAGTTTGTTTAGTTGCAAGACACACCTGACCAGAACTAATTATCAATGAGAAAACATATGATGCGTCCCAATTCGCATACTATCCATCCTAAATAGTATTCGAAAATAGAATTAGTGCGTCCCAAACCGTAGTATGTTGAAATGAGTGTTTCAAAGATATCCGGATGGTCTACTTTTTCCGGTCAGAATCCAAAGTGTAGATCGATGCGCACTCTAACGGCTGATATTGCCCACAACAGAGGACGCACGAGTCCTGCGGTTATGTTGAGAGGTTTAGATAAAGAGGTTTGAGTGATTAATTAACACTTTCTGACCTGACGAAAATTAGTTTATTCAATGTTTTTCCACATTATATTTCATCTGCAGCAACATTGTGAACTTTTGTAAGGATACGTTTAGCCATTACTTTTTAAATGCATCATCATTATATTCAAATTGCAAAACACAAGGAAAGTATACACATGAAAGACCCATGACTGGAAGATTAACATGCTCCGATACGGTAGGAAATCAAATTAGATTGAATGGAGGATTTTAACTGTGACGAGATGATTGACAGGGCAGTTTATGGTGACAGGATGCACGCAGCACGCGACAGAGCCATCCGTTAAAAAATGACGTGATAGTATGTCCCAAAGCTTGCCTACTTTTTTGCTACACACTCAAAAGTATGTACTTTTTCTTCACAAAAAGAGTACATACTTTTAGGGCGTAGTATAAGTAAGCAAATTGGGACGCAGGGATAGTGACATACAGGCACGGCCGCATTAACCATAGGGCTAGGCGGGGCTTAAGCCCCGGGGCCCAAGCAAGGAGGGGGCCCGTGATTGGCTGTGGAGCAGATACTGCAAGCCATCTGATTACCAAAGCCTTCCCACGCAACGTCCCCCACAAATTATCCCTGTTATTTAGTTGCACTTTGCCTTATCATGGAATCATTATCATTAATAGAGACGTTCGCAAAGACCCGCCTTTTTTAGGTACTATGTGACGGACGGGCCACGAGCCAGGCGGCTCTCGCGAGTCACGCACATCATGTTCTCATGCACTCACGCAGTGAAAAATACTTCGCGGGGCAAAGACTAACGTTACACCGAGTGATTACGAGAGAGAGTTCAGGGCAGCTTACTGTTGATATGAAACAAAGTCTCAACTTTCAAATATTGTCATTTAAGTAATTTAAACATTACCGTTTTCAAGTTCATGTCCACCGACTGACAGCTTTGTTGTCGGACAAAGTTGCGTATTATTCGGCGTTATGATTGGCCAGGCCACCTGTCAATCAAACCCCCTAGGCATGCAGGGCCAACGGCTCTGAGCAGGGCATGGTAAATTGAAACGTCAGGTTTTAATTTGATATGACAAATATATTTATTCTATATTTAACTTGTGAACGACCGACCTGCTGCTGCACGTAGGCCTATAGATGATTGCTGCCTGCGCCTTATTAGAATAGGTTATATATCAACCAATAAATCGCCTTTACTCTTCTCTTCATTCTAGTCTATTCTTAAAACACAGCGTCATCATCGACCCCACAAACTTTCGGTAAGTTTGAATATTAACTTGATGGATGTATAATTTTGCTTTTTGTGTTTGATTAAACTCTATATTCGCCTAAAGGACTGGCGATATCGGTAGAAATATTTAAATTTTGCTGCGCCATCATGATGTAGCTAAGTTTATCATTTAAACGCGTTTTTAAACGTTGTGGTTTGGATACAAAATATTTCAAACTGCTCAGGCACAGTGAGCAGCGGGAGAATTTATTTTGTAAATGCTGGTTTTAAGACCAAGGTGAACCATAGACTGTGGTGAACTTGAGACGGTTTTGCACAGCGCACTTGAATCCGACTCTGAGGTCTCAAAGTGACAGACGCTGCTAATAAAGCTGCTGTCGCCATGTGTGTCAATAATGTTAATCAAACATCAGAAAGAAAGTAATTTACTGCATTTGACTGAATTACTTTTGCAAAATTAACAAGAATGAATGTTGAATTTATAGTGAAAACCATGTATTGTATATTTGATTACTTTATATAATATTATTCAGTGCTTTAAGTTTTTCATAGGTCGATTTATTGTGCCTTTGTTCTATTTTAATTTGTGACTCTTGTCATCAGTAAGCTTGAGATTATTTTCTTAAGCTACTATTATTTTTTGGTGATATTGAAATTGGTCACAATAATTATGAAATTTTAGTCAATACATTTTGATATGATAAAAAAATCATGTTAAAAGTAACATAACTTAACTGTGAAGTATATCATGGATAAAATGACTCGTAGGCTATAATAATATAACATTTAGCTCATGTAGTTGGTGACCTAAAGTGGTTGGGGGGGCCCTGCAGTAACTCATAGCCCCGGGGCCCAGTGAGCTCTTAATACGGCCGTGCATACAGGGAGAGAACTGAACCAATTAACAGACTGAAAACCAACCTTGAAATAGACATGAGCAGAACATGCAGTGAACAAACAAGCAAACAAACACAAATAAACCATAACAATATGACTCAAAATAAATTCTCATTCAGTAAACATGCATTTCATTCATAAGTCTCTGACCTAAAAAACACTAACAACAGGGAGCATTACATAAATAATGAACTTTTATTTTTTAGAAGTTTGAATGTTTTTTTCACATAAATATTCATTATATAATAAGGATAAGATTTTTAAAATTTTGCTGACTGTATTACAGCATAAAAAATAAATGAGAAATGCAGCAATTTGTTTTTTTTTCTCTATATATCATATACAAAAAAAATATAAATAAATAAAAAGTTGAAACAACAATAACAACAACATGTGAATATGCATGAGTGTCTCTCATCCAGTGATGGACCGGGCATCTGTCCCAGGTGTTTTCCTGCCTATCACCTGAGACACTGGGTCTCCAGCCTCCCCATGACCCCACACATGACAATCACTTTGGAAAATAGGTGGATGGATTGATGGAGGAATAGTATTGTGAGAATTCCAGCCTAGTCTCAGCAACTCCAAACTCTGTTTCCAAACAAATCCATTCTGAGGCCAATTCCCCTATTTACCAAAAGATGACTGAATTTTTTTTTTCTATTACTACTGTAATAGAGACTGAAAATAGGACACCTGCACTCTAAACAATGCTGGGTTGTTTAAGCAGTGTGTTAATATTTTAAAAATGTGCTAGTCTTTTTCTGTAATTGTAAATTTCTGTAAATGTCAAACATTTTTTTTTCCCACATTGAATGCTTTGGTTAATGTTTGCAACATATTCTGGCTGTGAGTTCTGCATAGAAAAGTGCTTTTTTAATTTTTTTTTAATTATTTTTTTATACGACCTGTTATTAATTAAAAAAGCACATTAAAAAAGTACATTTCAATACCAGGATTATATTGACAGTTACCAATCGAGGATGAATGGTGTTTTCATTGTGTTTGACAGAGCAAGCTGTTAGTTTGATGTGTGGGTAATGAATGTCTTAATGCAAACATAATTAAAACTCATGTCTGCAAACTATTCTTTGCGAAGTTGACTGGTGTTTTTTGTTTGAATAAACTCTCAGTTATCGTCAATGTATGTTTATATTCTACATCCCTTTTAATTAGAGATGCAAGAATTGCAATTTTTTTGCAGATTCCGATTTTTTTTTTTCTAAGAACAATGATTGGCAGCATATACAAAGAAAAATATACTTTTCTTCAATACAAAATTGAATTTTCATTAAAAAAATTAACAAGTTATGTTTTTCAGGGAAGAAGGAGGCTGGAACCGGCGAGCGTTCAACACTTTAATAACAAAACAAACAAAAAACGAAAGAAAAAGCAGCAGCCCCTCACAGACAACAGCTGCACACACACACACACACAAAAACATAATATAAAGTCCATAACTGGTCCTCTCTCATCTTTCACTGTCGTCGCTTCTCCTTTTATGCTTCTGTAGCTCCTCCGTGAGATACAAGGTGGTGCGGCACGTTCTCTCATGTCTTTTGGATCCGCTCTGCTTTCCTAATCAAGTAAAAAGTCAGTAAAAAAAAAAAAACAAAAAAAACAAAAAAACATATAAACAAATTTCAAACAGCAGCACAAAATGGGCTACTGCAGAAATGAAAGTAACCAAATATAATATAAAATTGGATAGTATTCATTGTACATTTTAAATACAGATTAATGCTTGAAATTAAAGTTCTTCAATTAATCAATTATTTGATGACGCACAGAGTCTGGTATCTCCCCTAACACAAAATAACACTCCCCGTGCACATTCGCATTCACCGCTCAATCGCGAGTAACTGTCAGCACAATTAGTTACTACAGCTGAGCCTGCAGTTTTCTAGCTAGCTATGCCTTCAACACAGAAATGCATAGGCTAATACCTGAATGTGATCATGTACAAAACAGATCGGTATCTTTATTTAAATTCCCTAAAAACGATCACATCAAGAAGAGGTTTTTAGAGAGCCAACCTTGATGAAGAGCTGAGGATCACCGTCAACACCCGCCTCTGTAGTGATCATTTTACACGGGATCGTTTTATAAACTTTCCTCTGGGATTCACTGATAATCCGTTGTTACTGGTGAACGGGGCCGGACCGACTATCTCCCGCCTCAGCGTTCATTCTCCCGTTCTGAAAGCAGTATCAGCTAATATCACCGTCGACACTAGCTTTCCCGCAAGTGGGCGTGGTTTCCACGCAGCCAGAGGACACGCCCCCCAGCGTTTGAGAACAGAGATAACTGCTCATTTTTTCAAGATTTTGATAGCTTATTTTATCTACTTGCCGACTTTTTTATCATTCAAATTTGGCTGGGTGGCTAATGACACATTTTTCTGTGGTGTGACAAACTCAGAACACATACTTAATTTTGACTTTACAGGGGCTTTAACTATCTATGTTCCAAAATTGACAGTTTTTAACTGAATACCTAAGACATGCATTTTGATATCATTTCGTGTTTATTTGACCGTTCAAGCACAGTAAGCCACTCATTTTGGTACTTGGGACTCAAGCTGTTTGAGAGGTGGCTTTATGTGTGCGCCATTTATATAGATCAGTGGTGCACATGCTTTTGCTGTGAAAGCGATACTTGTGAAAATTAGTAAAGTTATGCGCAAAAAACTATTTAACTGTGGGGAATGAGACAAGTACGTGAAAAGAGGTGTCACTTCGTCATCAGAGACAATTCAAGTCAAGTCAAATATATTTATATAGCACTTTTCACAATACAGATTGTATCAAAGCTGCTTCACAATATCAATCAAGACAACTTGATTGATAGAGATTGAAATAATTAAAGGGTTAAATATTCTATACAGTACGTGGCTTAACTACAAATATATCAAGCGACGAGAATACTTTTTGTGCGAAAATAAAACAAAAATAACGACTTTATTCGAATATTCCTTTTGTTCCTTCTGGGCCTGAGACGAGTTCAAGAGATTTCCACGACACATGCTTGAGAATTGTGCAAGAAGTAGTTGAAGGAGATCGCAATTCTCGTGCATTGAAATCTCTTGAACTCTCATCTCAGGCCCAGAAGGAAGAAATATTTATATTTTCTAATTTATATTTAACCCTTTGAGAGAGTGATAACGCACTGAGCAATGTAAAAATCTATTGAATCTGGTCCCTGGCCAGACAATCGGTGCATCTCTTACTTTTAATATATTACTTCGCACACACACGCATACACACATGTTTGACATCAGCCTGGTCTCATTGTTAATACGTAAGTATTTTACGTTTTTTGCAAAGATAGAAAATGTACTTTTTAGTATGTTTGGATAGATGCTGAAACGTATAATATGGACGTATCTGCAACATTTAAACGTAACATTATTACGTTTTTACAGCAACAAAACGTTAACTATTTACGTATTTTCTATATCATAAAAATATCTGTATAATTTCACTTTTTACCATTTTATAGATAAATGTAAGATCCCGTAACCCTAATCCCAAACCTAAACATACCCATTTTTACAGAAAATAAAAAGGATAAAACGTAATGGACAGATGTGTTGGGAAATGGCAGTTTTATTAACAATATAGCATTTATATATTTTGAGCCACCAATCCTACTCCTACCCCTAAACCTACCCATAACAATTCCTTAAAACTACGTAAACCTCAATTGTGAAGAAAAACATAACTAACAGACATGTATAATCACAAAAATGTATTTATTGCGAAAATGTCAAAACCTATACCAAAAGCCGTTTACATGATGATGCGTTGCAGTCGCAGTCCTCTCTGGTAGTATTGTAATAGTTTTGTATGAAGTACAGAGTAGAATTTAAATTAATAATCAATGAAAATGTTAATCCGGCTTTGGTTCGCTGCTTCGCACCATTTCAAATGAACTAAACCAACCAACCGTCACCGAGTCCTTCATATCGCAATCTGTGATGAAGCAGGGAAGAGCCAATGAACGTTTGATATCACTGCCATAAAACATGACGTAACGCTTCTCAAGGGTGCAATTTTTGAATTTGAATTCATCACCAGCGCGGGATTTGACATGTACGGTCGCTGCTGAGAATGGAGACGAAGATTACGACTGGATAAAAGGCTGAATTAGGAGTTGTTTCTTGCAAACAATGTAGGCTATGGATTCTAAAGATTTGGATTACGTCAAACTAATAAAATTGATGTCTTTTGTAAATTTATGTTGTGTTTTATAGGAGAAAACGCTTTATGTGACTCAGGGTAAATAAACTATATTACAAAATGTTTAAACGAGTAACGTTAAAGAATGTATTTTTAAGGTTTTATAGTATATTGTTTAACACCATGCAGGCAAAACGAGCAAAATGTTAATATTTATGAGTATTGTATCAATAAATGCGACTGAAAACTTAATTGACAGTTGAACGCAATAGAGTCGAAACATAATGCTACGATTTTAATATGCGTAAATTGTGATACGTACAAATGTGTACGTCGGTGGATTTGTTCATACGTAAATAAATTATGTTTTTGTGCTGTCAATACGTAAATATTTTATGTTTTAGTACTGTAAATTTGTCAGTATTATACATTTCTATGCATATAAAATGTAATTATATGATATAAAATTAACATATAAATACATACGTATTCTCATGAGATCACGTTGTTGACATAATAAAAGTGCTCCTATTTTTGTTTTTAAATCTAGACTCAAGAATCTTTACTCTTTAGCATTTCCTCATTATTAATTTATGGATTAGATAAAATGTTGTCTTTGATTTTTACTCAATTTTATTTTATATTTTATTGTATTTTATAAAAAAAAAAAAAAAATTGTACAGCACAGGTCATTGTAAGCTGAATTTACATGTCCTCTATATATAAAATGTACTTACTTACTAACAGATGACTTTCACCAGTCCTCATAAATTTATAGAACATAACTCATTTTAGGCTCGTTTTAAGCCTCCCCAGAATGGTTTTCCAGTAACTGCCAGTTAATGTTAATAGTTTGAAAAGCTTTTTTTTTTCATAGCACACTTAAAGGTTTGTTTTCCCCTCTGTGAATCAAAGGCAAACTTGACGGCATGATAAATGAAGGTTTGATGGCACAACAGGATGTACCAGTGGTGGCAACAGTGACCCTCCTATTACACTACTGGCCAATGGCAATCAGAACACTGATCCCTCTAATAACAGCAGAACAGCAGATTCTTCCCATGACTTTTGCCCCTCAAATTATCTAATGACAGGATTTCGGTTAAAAGAAATGACCCTGCTTGAACCCAACACATTTAGATATTACTTATTTTCCCCTCAACTATATTGTAAGTTAGTTGAAGGACATTTTTAGTTAAAAACAGTAAAATAGAGTAACACAACAAATAAATTAGGGATATTTAGGGACAAAATTTCTGCACCAATATCCAATTATTCAGAATAATCAGAATCAGCTTACATCGATTGTTAGGTGGCCAAATGCCTCTATCTTTTGTGCTTTACGGTTTGGATTTCCCTCTGCTGTCATATGCTTGTGCTATAGAACGGTATGATAATTTGGATACATCCTCTCATTTGGAACAGTACTATAATATATTCCAAATATATCATCAACTATTATATTCAACTACTGTTTAATTCCATATATAATAATCATCACAATACAAAATTGTATGATTTGTATAGATGAGTAATGAACTGTGGACTTTGGAGAATGTCCTGAGGTAAATGGAACCTCACATTATGCTGTTTATTATCTTTCCGTGATTGAAACACTGAGCGAATAAATAAGAGATGATAAATTTCAATGAGTTGTACTGCATTTAACATACCTCCTCCTGATGTCTCATGATTCACGCTGCTGCTCGACTGTCAGACCATATTTAAAAATGTCAAAAGGGCATTCATTTTGTGATAAAATCATCAGAAGTAACAAAACGCAGACTTGGCAACTCTGCCTGGAACTATGTGGAATATTTATCACAGAATTTGAGTAGCAGTCTATACCCATTTAGAATAAGCAGAATTGCTCACTGCATTTAATTGAACAAAAAACATTGTAAAAACAGGAATACTGTGAAAAATTATTTCAATTTAAAACAACTTTTCTGTTTAAAGGTGTTGCATGTAACTTTATCACTCTACTAAAGCATAAAAATACAATAATATGATTGCATATGTGGCGTGTGGGTGCAGGTTCGAGACAAAAGCTCAAGTTGATTTATTAATAAAGTCCGACTATGCCACCCTAGGAGTTAACCCCAGAGAAAATACTAAACAAGTACAAGTACAACAACTGAGTCAAGTACACAGGTTCGGATTACACTAAAAAAAAATACACTAAAACCCACATCAAACACTAACAACCCCACTTCAAATCAAAGAAATAAAAATCAAAGGGCTGAGGCTCCCAACGACAGGAATCACTGTGGAATTCGGTAGGGCTGCAACTAACGATTATTTTGATAATCGATTAATCGGACGATTATTTTTTCGATTAATCGATTAATCGGACAAAAAATTATATTTCATTTTTTTGTTTATTATAACTAAATA